TGAAAAATGTCCTCAGTGTTCCTGAGCTGTAAATGTAGTATCTGTTACACTGGTGAATGTCTTATTGTATATATTTTCACCACAATAAAAGTAAAAGAAAAAAAAAGTCACCCAAAAGACAAAATACTTAGGAATAAATCTAAGCAGAGACACAAAAGACCTACAAAAAGAAAACTCCAATCATGCATATGATATCAAGAGGACTGCATTTGCCCAGGGATAGAACTAGGAAAGTGGGAGAGGCTGGGAAGGCAGGACGAAGGGAAGGAGCGGGCGAGGGAGGAAGTGAGAATACTGTTATTGCATTGGGATTGTAGTAAACGTCACAAAACAGAATGTGTATGGATTGTTGAATGGAAACTTTTACCCAAATCACAATACATAAATAAATAAACTAATTAATTTATTTTAAAAAGATATGTGGAAACAATTAGTCCAAAGGACTAATGGACCACATGATCCCCAGTCACCATGACCCCGAGACCAGAAGAAATAGATGGTGTCTGGCTACGCTCTGAAAGGGATCACAATAGGAGGGAGTGGGAGAAAAATATGGAACAAAGCTCAAAATCATTAAAAAAAAAAAAAAGTCTTACTGGTCTGGTACAGATTGGTGGAATTCCCAAGACTATGGCCCTTACACACACTTCATGCCAGGAACTGAACTAACCCCCCACGGTTCAACTTTCAGCCAAATGATAGGCCTATTGGGTGAACAGTAATACCAAGAAGGTACATATTCATTAGAACAACCAACCACACAAGATCAAAAGGGCAGAATTTGCCTAGAAATAAAGCTAAGAAGCTAGGGAGGAATAGGAAAGAAGGAGTAGGGGAAATGGTACAGGGGGAGGAGTGGGAAGCGTGTGGTTACATTGTGGGAATTGCAATGAGTATCACAAAACAGAAAGTGTATGAATTGTTGAATGAAAACCAATTTGCTCTGCCAATTTTCACCCAAATCACAATTCAAAGATTAAAAAAAAAAATTAAATAAAAATAAATCTAGCTAATAAGGAATCATATAGATAGTTGCAAGATAGGACCAGTCCCTGAAGAAGGATATCATGCTTGGTAAAGTAGGTTAGCAAAAAAGAAGAAGCCCCTCGGTGAGATGGATTGACACAGTAGCTGTGATCATGGGCTCAAGCACAGCAGGGATTGTGAGGATGGCACAGGACCAGGCATTTCGTTCTGTTGTCCACGGGCTCTCTATGAGTCAGAGATGACTCGATGGCACCTAACAACCACAACAACATAGATTGTTGTTGTTTGCCCTCGAGTCGGACCGGACTCACAGCGACTCCTCCTTGGGTTTCCGAGGCAATATCACTACGGAAATAGATTGCCCCATTTTCCTTCCGAGGAGTGGCAGGAGGGTTTGAACTGCCACCCTTCTGGTTAGCAGTCAAGTGCTACTACAGCAACAACATAGATAGTTCCAATAAATCAATTGTTGTTATGAGCCATCGACTTGGACCTGACTCATAGCGACCCCTCCTTGGGTTTCCGAGGCAGTATCACTATGGAAGTAGATCGTTCAACCTTCCTTCCAAGGAGTGGCTGGTGGGTTTGAACCTCCAGCCTTCTGGGTAGCAATCAAGTGTCTTAGGCACTATGCTACCAGAGTAAAAACCTCATTTAAGAAAGGACATGGAAATTCTGAGACAATAATGGCGTAAACACACCATCATTCAGATCCTTCCCACAAATACAACGAGGAAACGATGCTTGGCTTTGAGAGACTCTGAATCAGGGAGCAGAGAGGAAAGTGCTGGGAAACTGCAGACAGGTTGTTGTAGTGCAGACAACTGCACTGTTGTTGTTAGGTGCCATTGAGCCATCCCTGATTCACAGGGATCTGAGGCACAGCAGAATGAAACACTGCCCAGTCCCGCGCCAGCTCCATGATCCTGTCTGTACTTGAGCTCATCGCAGCAGCCACTGTGTCAATCCATCTCACTGAGGGCCTTCCCCTCTTTCGTGGACCCTCCACCTTACCAAGCATGGCACCTCTGTCATGCAGTTGTTGTTGTTGTTGTTATGTGCTGTCGAGTCAGCCCTGACTCATAGCGACCCCTCCTTGGGTTTCCGAGGCAGTATCACTACGGAAGTAGGATTGCCCAACCTTCCTTCCGAGGAGTAGCTGGTGGGTTTGAACCGCCAGCCTTCTGGTTAGCAGTCAAGTGCCTTAGCCGCTATGCTACCAGAGCTCAGGTAAGAAACAACAAATCAACAATGAGCAGTATATGGTAGGAAAATCACTTTCTATTTGTCCCTGCCCCTCCCCCAGCCAATGGGCCACTGGCTGCCATGAACTGGTGTAATGGCCACAGAACAAGAGCCTGCTTCCCTAACCACTACAGCCCCTGCCTGTACAAAGAAGAACCCAAGCTTCTGCCCTAACATCAACAAGGCAGACTTCCCTAGGGATACATTCGGAGTGTGCCAGAACGTCCCCCACCCAGACTCTATAGGTTGCAAGCTTACCCAAATTACAAATTGCTACAAAATGCCTGTAGACAGGAGACATTCTGAAGAGTAATTTGTGGTGTGTCTGCTCCTGGTTTTGGTCAGAGCTGAGGACTGCTGAGTGAAGCTGCTGTGTTCCAGGAAGCAGGCATCTTTCGTGAAGGCTGCACTCACAGTCAACATGTTCCACAGCGACGATGGGCTCCTAGGGATCCATTTAGAGTGTGCGGGCACCTCCCCACCCAACACTGTTAGCTACCAGCAAACTGTGAATTACTGCAGGAGACCCGTGCAATGGAGTCTGTTCACATAGTAAACACTACTGGCTTCTTTGCACACCTCATAGCTCAGGCCCCAGAAACCAGCAGTACAGACCTCCCTGGGAATCAGTTTGGGTCTGTCTGCTGTCCCTTACAATTGGCACTGAGGACAGATGACAGGCGGCTGTGTGCTAGGAAGCAGGCATCTTGAGTGGAGGCTATACCCACAGACAATATACTGCAAAGAGGGCTCTGATAGCAACAAGGCAGACCTCCCAGGGAGTCTGCTTAGAGTGACTACCCTTCCCCACCTGGTAACTGTCAGCTTCTATACTGATATGAATTTCTACAGAAGATTCCCTACAGTGGAGTCAGGAGGTGGGTCACCTAAATGAACTGCTCCCCCAACTACCACAGGGTCACTGGGGCTCTGAGACCAAAAAGACGTATCTCCGTGGTCTTTTGGGGGAGTGTCAGCCACTACTTCTCCTGAAATGGAGGAAAATCTGCCTGTGCTTCCCCTGAAAACTAGCCAGATATAAGCAGCCGCTCAGAGTAGGGAAGGAAACTCTGGGCAAAACCAGAAGGCAAGACCCAGCCCTGAAGGAAGCTTGCTGGGGGTGGGTTTTCTGGCTAAAAACAGGATTGCAGAAACAGAAGGGAAAGGAGGAATAATCAGAGAGAGGGGACCATGATCCCTTGGGGACAGATTAATCAGTACTCTAACTTCACAAGAGGGAGACAGAATCACCGTCAACGCTCAAGGCTTATTCCCACCAGGCCAGTCATGCAACCCTCCAGCCTTTTTACCAGTTCTGACACCAACTGCCCCTCCCATGGCATTCAAATAGTTCTTGGCTGGGTTTGATAATTTGTTGCAATGGCCTCAGAGAACTCACAGATGATACTCCACAATAATAACACTCTTATTAGGGAAGTAACAGGTTACAACTCAGGTTCAGCAGCACTCTCAGGATACAGTTCTTTGATCAGGACAGTCTCCCCTCTGCCATGAGCTCAGGCATGCCTCTCTGGCCCTCTGCCTCTTGGTCTGGCCCCTGTTCTGCTTGGTTAAGTCTTATAAAGCTCTTTTAGTACTGCTGATAGGTACACCTACCTAGGTGCATCGCACTCTATCAACAAGCCTCCTGCCTAAAGGCACTTGGCTTTCTCACTCTGTGGGGCAGAAAGCCTTCTACTCTGTCTCTTAGTTCCTCAGCTGATTATCTCAGCCTGTCAGCTCTGCTGTTTTTCGGTGAAGGAGATTCAGTGCAGGGATCTCAATTCCAAGGCGATCTCAGGTCCAAGGATACACTACACACCATCTCTTGTTCTTCTCTCCCGATGGCAGTGAGATCCCCCTTTCTGCCTCTAGGGGGGGCTCATTTTAAGCCCAGCAGCATAGCAAAACTAACCAAGCCTCACATTACAGTTCCATACACCTTATTTGCATGGTTCCACCTAGTCGTCTGGTGGGAGTCACAAAGAGCATGGCTAGAGAAGCTGTACCAAGTAATTCACTGCACCGCAAGGCACCTGACCCAAGCCATGGTATTTTCAATTGCTTCACATGCATGTAAAGCCTGGACAATGAATAAGGAAGACTGAAGAAGAATCAATGCATTTGAATTATGGTGTTGGTAGGAATATTGAATATACCATGGACAATCAGAAGAACAAACAAATATGTCTTGGAAGAAGTATAATTCCCCTTGGAGACAAGGATGGTGAGACTTCATCTCTTTGTATTTTTGTCATGTTATTAGGAGGGACCAGTCCCTGGAGGAGGACATCATGCTTGGTAAAATAGATGGTCAGCAAAAAAGAGGAAGACATAATGAGATGGATTAACACGGTGGCTGCAACAATGGGTCCACGGATAGCAACCTCAGACAGCTTATGGGGATGGTGTTGAACTAGGTAGGCAGTGCTTCTTTCTGTAGTATATAAGGTGGCTATGAGTCCAAACTGACTTGATGGCACCTAACAACAATAACATAGATTCAGATCTTCACCACTTGGAGATTGTTTGGTCATATTGACAGTCAATTGTATTACAAGAACTTCTTGATCTTTTTGTTCTTGTAGCACGTATCAATTGATTAGACAATGGCTGCACAAAAGCATTTAAGGCTCTGGATTGAATTCCCTAGACTAGCATCATGGCCACTATGACAAAAACAAGAACAAATAATGTCCCTGTAAAATGCTTCAGAACCAGAAACACCAGTTGCCAAACCAAGGCTAAGAGAACAAATCTCATAGGCCATGAGGATCAACCTGAGTGTAAGTAGATTTTTCCTTCAGTCAATGTATACCCTGTTCTACCTTGCCTGTTTTATTTATCCAAGTACAACAAAAAGTATTAGCAAGGGCATACACACCACCGTAACTAACCAATAAGAAATCTAGAGCAATACAATTTACAAATCATGCCAATGAATTGAGTCTGGTCTTATCTCATCTAAGGCAGAAGTAATATCATTAATACATTCTGCTAGAATTAGTAATAGGTTTCTTACAATCTTTTCTATTGTATGATTCCCACCATTGGAAATAACTGCTCTGATACATAAAAATGAGTTGGTTATTCCCCCAGGTTGTGTGCCTGAATCATCGATTCTCCCTCATTTTGAAGCTCACAACCAGGTTGGATTTTCCAGCCTGGTGATTCATAGAATTAGGGGCTCTGTGCATAGACAGGTCTCAAAATACAATTCTTATAGTGCAAGAGGTGTTCATCTGAGGCAAACAGTAGTAGACATACTCACCATAATGAAGATTCTGGAAAGAATGAGCTGTTCACAACATGAGGTTAAAATGAAGGCCTTTGTTTTGTAGTCTAGATTGGAACTCATCTAAATTCCTAAGGGATGAAAATTGGGATTAGCATGAAGCTGGTTTTTATGAGACGGAGGTCAAACATACTTCATTCTCAGCTTCTTCACTGTTTCTGATACCAGCTGTTCCCTCCACAGCACTCTCTATTTCTCCACTGGGTTTGATAATTGATTGCATTGATCACACAAACTATACTCACAGTTATATTGTTTATTAGGCAAATAACTGGCTACCACATCTGCTCAGGATCAACTTAGAAGTAATAGGAGCAGCTTGGGATCAGGACCAGAAAGGTGAGGTCTGGCAGGCTCCCCCAAAGAGAGAGTCCATTCCTCCTTACTACAGTGCAGGACAGCTTTCAATCAGAACACCTCCTCGGCTAGCAGGAGTCTCTGTATTTGGTTACCACCATGCTGCTTTGGGGGCTTGCATAGCCCTTAAAGCTTCTGCTGTGCCACTGGGTGTCACTGCACCTTGGCACTGTCCCGTGCCATTCAGTGTTACAGTTCTTGACATGTATTACAGCTCTTTTAGGAGTTACCCTCCTTCTCTCTCTTCTCACTTCTAAAAACCTCTGTGGGGTGGGCTGTTAATATAAGCAAATAACAAAACAAACAAAAAAACTCACTGCTGTTGAGTCGATCTTGATTCATAGAGACCCCTCCTTGGATTTCTGAGGTGATATCACTACAGAAGTAGATTGCCCAACCTTCCTTCTGAGGAGTGGCTGATGGGTTTGAATTGCCAGCCTTCTGGTTAGCAGTCAATGCCTTAGGCACTATGCCACAAAGTACTTGGCAATTTGAAGACATAGTCCTCTCAACAGGACCACAAACTGACCAATACCCACAAGTCATTTAATCCTGTTGGGTGCCTTTTCAAGCCACTATTTGCTTAGCAAATTGACCAATCTCTGCAAGATGCATAAAATAGACCAATCACAGGGCAGACTTAGGCCTAACCAATCATTTTTTGGCCAAACTAAAAACTCAGGGCTAGAAAGGCCACATAGAAGAAAAAGCTGTTGCAATGTAGCCTTAATTTAGCTGGGTTATATATTTGGGTGTGAACTACTCTCTTCATTATTTAAAATCAGGAAGGGAGTGTGTCAGGGTTGTATCCTTTTACCATACTTATTCAATTTGTATGCTGAGCAAATAATATGAGAAGCTGGACTATATGAAGAAGAGTGAGGCATTGGGATTGGAAAAAGACTCATTAACAACCTGTGATATGCAGACGACACAACCTTGCTTGCTGAAAGTGAAGTTGACTTGAAGCACTTACTGATGAAGATTAAAGTCTGCAGTGTGGAGCACACCTGAACATAAAATGAAAATCCTTACAACTGGGCCAATAAGCAGCATCACGATAAATAGAGAAAAGATTGAAATGGTCAAAGATTAAATATTGCTTGTTTCCACAATCAACACTAATGGAAGCAGCAGTCAAGAAATCAGACAGGGGAGTTCCGGCAAGATGGCGAACTAGGCACAAGGACTGCACAGACACTCTTCAACAAAGAAAAGGGAAACCAATTAACACAGACACAGAAGATAATCTTGGACCCCTGAGCCTTGAAGGGAAGGAT